CCGTTTTCTTCTCAGTCTGAATATTGACTTTTTTGCTTCATATGAGACACAGAAATGCAGCTTTTCCCTAAGGTTACTGCATCTAACCTACATCATTATTGTAATTACGCTGGCTCTTGTGTTTCCTGTCGGGCCCTATGGACTCACAAAGAAAATTATGTTCAGAATAGTATACAGTACTACCATACTGTTCTTACATTTCTGTAGTATGCATAGTGTGCACACTGTGTAATTTTTTTCTAAAATGTTTATATAAATCTTCTCATCACATGGCACCTTGGAAATAAAGAATTTTAGTTTGCATTTTCAGTAAAAATGTCTTCAAAAGATCATGCATATATAGGATATATGCATACTATTTGCAGTACATTCTACTCTTACTATTTTTGCAGTATGTATACTGTGCACAATGTGTAGTTTTTACTAAAATATCACTATACATTTTATTGCATGGCATCTTGGAATTAAAAATGAGTCTTAAAAAGATGCATGGAATAAACAATATAGGCATATTATACACTGTATTATGCTTGAAATAGTATACTACCTTACTACTCTTATTATTTTTTGCAGTATGCACACTGTGCAAAGTGTGTAATTTTTTTCTGAAATGTTTTTTTCTAAATATTTTCATAACTTGGCACCTTGAAAAAAATATATATATTTCGTTAGTATTTTTAGTAAAACAGTCTTAAAAATATCTATATTGCACACATAAAGAATGTATGCATACTATATACATAGTTTTTTTTTTTTTTTTTGCAGTATGCATACTGTGTGTGCACAGTCTGTAATTTCTGCTAAAATGTTTCTATAAATCTTCTCATCATATGGCACCTTGGAAATAAAAAAATGTATTTTTAATAAAAAAAAGTCTTAAGATCAATATTGCGTGCATAAATAATATATTCATACTATACACTGTATATATATACTATGTTCGGTGTAGTATACTGTACTACCAAACTGCTCTTACTATTTTTGCAGTATGCACACTGTGCACAGTGTTTAATGTTTTCTAAAATGTTTCTATAAATCTTATTACAGGGCACCTTGGAAATAAAGATTTAGTTAGCATTTTTAGTAAATAAAGGATTAAAAAGGTCAATATTCCGTGTATAAGCAATTAATGCATACTATACAGAGTATTCATACTGCAGAAATAGTAAGTAGTATGATAGTATTCCATTCTGAACTCAATGAGCAGAACTAGCAGCGCCCCCTGCAGGTGGATGATGTATCAGAGGGAAAGTGTACTGCGTGTTCTCGTTAGGGGGAAGACTGATATGAAGTATAAATAAACATGTAAAGGCAGATTGGTGTCGGGTCCAATCCTCTGATGTTGGGACACGTCAGCATTCTTCTGCTGGTAATAAGAAATCTCTTTATCATTAGAGGAGAGAGATAAGAAAAAGATAAATAAAAGCTTTTACGAGTCGCACAATCAAAGCAGGCCTATCCTGCTCTCTACATCTATTTCATGTTTATTCCCAGCCATTATTTTCCTGTGATCAATTTGGTATTTGTTTCTAATTTTAAGTGGGTAATTTGCTGTTTTGTTCTCTGTGCTTTGGGCCTTGACTCATGCCTCAGCATGGCTTACTCTCTGTATTTACGGAGGGATTTCCTAATTAAAGCTGTCAAATATCTTAGAGGCTTAGAGCAAACAAATAAGAAAGGCACAGGAGAACAATTAAAAGAATAATTCACCCTGAAACAAAACTTCTGTCAGCATTTACTCCCCTCATTTCGTTCCAAAGCTATTTAATGCTATTTCTTCTCTAGGAGATGTTAAGCTGAGATGTTCATGATGCTCTTTGAAGCTCAAAAAGCAACAAAAAGTATCATAACATCACTTTTACAGCTCTCAAATTTAGGAAAAAAGCTTTTTTTTTAAAGTATGTATACATATATGTACATATTTACATTTAAAATTAGAGAACACTTACAGATACCTCCAAGTTATTGGTGTTAATCTGGCACCTCATGCTAATTTCCTTAATCATCTGACAAATCCTATTTAAATCCTGTTGAAATCGGTTCAACGCTGCAGCTGGAATTGCTCGCCAGTTCAGCGCTGAACAGAGTAAGTATCTGTCTCGGCATACAGTGTCTCGACGTTTAAGAGAAGTCAGACTGAAAGTGTACTCTGCAGTGACCAAGCCTCTCATCAGCAGAAAGAATCAAAAGACTAAACTCACTTTTGCTGAGGATGTTCATGCTGTTTGGACAGAGGAGAACTGGTCCAAAGTTCACTTCGTTGATGAAAGCAAGTTTAATTTATTTGGGTCCGATGGGAAACATTATGTTCATCATCAAACTATTGAAAGACTGAACACAAAGTGTGTAAAGAAGTCAGTGAAAGGTAGAGGAGGAAGTGTGATGGTTTGGGGGATGTTTTCTGCAGCAGGAGTTGAGCCTCTTATACAGATACATGGCAGGTGAATGCAAATGTTTATCAGAACCTCCTTCAACAACATGCAGCTCCTTCCCTGCGGTCATCACCCAATCAGCCAGCAATTTTCATGCAGGACAATGCCCCCTGTCACACAGCAAAACGGGTAAAGCAGTCCCTTGAAGCTGAAAACATTGAAATAATGAAATGGCCGGCCCAGAGTTCTGATCTAAACCTGACTGAAAATCTCTGGAAAATCCTTGGCGACAAAGTTATGAAACCCACTACAGTCACCGAACTGTGGAAGAGACTGGAAGAAGAGTGGACCAAGATATGATTTCATAGTTTATTTATTTATTTAATGCATTTTTTGTTGTTGATCAGAAGTCAGAGTGCGGGACAAGGTAAGTAATAATACATAAAAACATAAAAAAAAACTTGAAAAGTGACAAAAATAAATTAAGAATATATTTTTAATGCTACCTTCATGAAACAAAAATAAATCTGCTAGTTTTAGCAAGAGTAATAATGGTGCTTGGGTTAGCAAACCCAAAAAATCTCTCTTTCTGCTGAACGTTTCACTAGGTAATGATGATGAAGTGTTTGATCTTCAGGCTGAGAGAGTGAGAGAGAGGTGTTTAATGTGGCAGGGTCCGCACTAAACCAACAGGCCTCTTATATATACACTGATTAATGTTAAACAGCCTCTACACAATGCTGCGGGGCCAGAAAGCGCTTACACTTGGAGAATAAATCATTCATTTCTCATAAAGGCATGTATCTGTGGGCTAACAATGAAAGCACATTTCTTTAACATTTACACCGAAGCTTCAGATGAACACAAAGGATGCAGGAGCTTCTTTTAATGTTGTTTTAGTCAAATTCTTAAAACATTAACTGCAGGCTACAAAACACAACAACAAATGAACAAAGAAGTGGAAACTTTGCATGCAGAGATGCCATCTAAAAGGCTCATTCTCGAAATGTTTTGCATAGTGTAATGATTCAAAAGACAGTCTTTGTCCCACAGAGCAGCTTTAATTGCAAGCATCTGGGGATGGTTTGTGTGCAAAGCAACATACTTTCACAGAAACAACAATTAACCTCAAACGAAGTGATAATTTCTCTGGAAAAGCAGGAATTAAGTGAAGTCGGTGGCTATGAGACAGTATCCCAGAGCAATCTTTTCTAATTGGTCCCCATAATCAAATTTTCAGCAGTCGCCACAGTCTGCAGCTATTTATGACAGTGAAAATTGTCTCGTTATGAGTATTAGAGGATTCATAATGTATTATGCTGTGCTGTTAATTTTGTTTTCCATATTTTGATTCAAAATCTTTTTTACTCGAAAAATGCAGCAGAAGCAGTGGAAAACAGATTAGTCTGTCCGTTTAGAACCCGGTAAAAATAAAAAATAAAAAACATTATAAGAAATTGACCATATGAAACTGACATTACAAGGAGTTTCATCATGGTTTATTCAAAATGCAAAAACTCTGGACTCCTCCATCACAATAAGCCACCATAAAGTGGCTTTAGGATCTCTGTTCAGATTCAGATTTTATATAAATACATGCATGTATGCGTGCACACACACACACACACACACACACACACACACACACACACACACACACACACACATATATATAATATACATATACACATCATGTGATATGTATCAAATTATAATGTATCATGGTTCATGATAATGTATATGAAGCAGCACAACTGATTTCAACATTGATAACAATCAGAATAGTTTATTGATCAGCAAATCAGCATATTAGAATGATTTATGAAGGATCATGTGACACTGAAGACTGGAATAATGATTTTGAACTGTAAATATGTGTATTTTTTGTTCAATATGACAATATTAGAGCTTGATTACAAATGATGTACAAAATATTCCTTTCACAAGTCATATTGACCTCACATACTAAAAATTGTTGGTCACATTAGGAATGACGGCACAATTAAGGGACAGTCGTGTTTTGAGAAAAAATTGAAACAATTTTCATACAAAATATAACGTCTTTAGATTATAATTTAAAACATATACCCCCGGTTTCACAGACAAGGCTTAAGCCTAGTCTCAGACTAAAATGCATGTCTGGGCTGTTTTAACTGAAAGAAACTTGCATTGATTGATCTTAAAATATGTCAGTGCCCTTGTTTTGTCTCGAGATGCACAAGAGTAATGTTATTTTCCAAAGCACGTTTATAAATGGCATTTAAATGTCCTAATTGAACTATGGCCTAATCCTGGCTTAACCTAAACCCTGTCTGTGAAACCAGGCCATATAATGATTAATATTTCCTAACTAACTAACTAACTAACTAACTAACTAACTATAAAAAGTAGCAAAATAAATTATAAAGACATTTTTATTGTCACATTCATATAATAATTACCTTGTCACGTTCAATAATAATTTTTGTGTTTTTACTTTACTCTGGTATTTTGGTACATTGGTAAATTGTAGTTATCATGGTATTTTTGGTGAGGGACTGACCGGTCGTCCGGTGACGCTGCTGTCCCACATGACAACAAGTTTCTTATATCTCCCCCTCGCGGTTCATGAGTTCAGTGATGGTGGAAAATGGCGGCTAGATGAGTCTCTCCAATACTACAGAGAAAAGAAAAAGTGTGTGGAAAAACTCTGGATATATATTTGGAATATCGACAACAACACTCACGGGCGTCTCACAACACCTTCATCAGTGAGGATGTCGCGCTGGGTGCCCACGAAGAAGGAGAAGTATGGAGTAGGTGAGTAGAGAAGAACCAAACTTCTTTTAGTCCCATTACAAAAGTTTTGGGAGAAATTGTGATTCGAGTTTCTCTGTTTCCCGGCTGGCTTGGCTTATGTAAGGAGGTTTGTGCTGATGTGTTTTTATGACTGTGGGTCAGTGTATTCAGTGCGCTATTGTGTATTTGAGATATGTGTGTGAGTGTGTTTGTAATGTTTTTCGGTGGAGATTGACACACAGACGCGCCTAGTTCCAGCGTTTCCTGCGCGGCGGCCTGAATGGAGCTGATGGATACATTGTTGCTCATTGTTAATCGCGCGCTGATACTTTGTAACAACGTTTCGCGCTGATGCGTTCTAAAGCTTCGTTCTTAATGCGTTTCGCGCGGAAGATTCTGAACGGGCTACATTCTACCAGCCGCTGCTGCTTTCAGTCGCCCGATTGTTTCGTTTATGTCTCAGAGTTCCCACTGTCACGGATAACCTGGAAATGTTAGGATATTTAAAAACCGTGATTTTCATTCTCACAATTTCTGTAGTGAATATACATGGCCTAAAATGGGACACACAGTGAACTGAAGTGCTAATAAATCCGAATCTAACTCTAATGACTGGAAAACTCATGCAAAGTTATTGGTCGAAAGGCGTGGGAAGCCTGATGTAAACAAATTCGTTTTATTGGGCTACTATATACGTGTATTTGCTCTTATCGGGGGTCTTTTAAAGACTTTAGCGAATTTTGCATAAATATTGTGTAAAATCATTTGTATTTTGTGCACATCACATTCAACTCTCTGAAATACTTCATTCTGATTGGTTAGCATCATTGGGCAGCAAGTTTGTGTCATGATTTCAGGCTCTGCTTGCATACATATTTGTGCAAGTTTCATGTCTTTCTGCTTCATTCCTCTCCTTTCTCCTGACTTACTGTACATAAAAAAAACTACTGTGTTTCTATAATGTGTCCAAATATGTTTAGAACTAGATGTTAATCAAACGCATCAGTAGTAAATGAAAGCTGAACTATATTTTCCTGGCGTTTCTTCCTTCTCGTATGTAATGAGAGACTGGATTGTTTTCATGGTATTCGTTGTGCTTTGTCTCATTCCTCCAGCTGTGATTGACAGCTCTGAGTTGACATGGTGTGAAGTATTGCACTGGATGATGTAGAAGCTTGTTCTTAATATCCAGGTGATAAAATCGTGATATATAAAGTCCGAATTCTGAGGGGGAAAAAAGACCGTATTTGTGAGATATAAAATTAAAACCGTTTCCATGAACATCCATAGTAGTAGTTAATATATCAAAAGTTCACTTAGAAAGTCCCTGAGAAGATCTGGTTTTTAAATGATGCAAGGATATAAAAGAATCTTAATTCCATCTCAACTGGACAAGAACTTTATGGGTTGCATTAAATGGATCAGTAGAATCTTCTATTGGCAGCAAACTCATAGTCTATAATTCTGGTTTTATCTGCTCTCCTTGATGGAGACTCAAAATATCTCCATCATTCATGTTGGATAATGTGTGTTCTGCTTACAGGAGGAGAGAGGAGTTGCTCAGCTGCTCTTTTGAAATATTGTGGTTAACACGTTGTGTTTGTGAGTGAAAGGTTGCTCTCTGAATGCTCTCTACCTGTTTGTGTTGCTCAGTACTTCCACTCTGAGCTCAAAGGAGCACGAGGCGGTGTGTAGAAATGTCTAGTCTGTGTTGTGTGAATTTTTACCCTGAGGGCGGTTGAATTTTACTCTGTAATGTTGAAATAGTTTTGCCTCTGTATTGGTGTAATTTAAATTCTCAAGTGCACTAGACTGAGGTGAAGCCTTTTCTGACTACGGCAGGTAAAAGAGGAACATGTTGAAACACATTTATGTGTGCTGCTTCCTTGATAGTCTAACTGTTGAAAGTGGCATAATTTTCTGACTGTTTTCAGATGAAATATACCATTGATTATGTATAATTGCTTTCTTGGATACATAGTCTGATCATTGTACCTTGTTATATATATATATATATATATATATATATATATATATATATTAGTTTTATGCATATATATAGTCTAAAACTAAAACCATTAAAAAATACTTGAAATGAAATAAATGTTAACTAACTGAAATAAAAAAAACGTATTTTATTTAACCTAGTCGCCAAGTCAATATTTTTCATTTTGTTTAGTTTTTACTTGAAGTACTAAAATAACTAAGAATAAATATCATAAAATTAACAAAAACTATATAGACATTTTAAAAATAAAATAAAAACTTAAATTAAAAACAACAAAATTACTAAACTACTTCTGTAAGTGAAAACAGAATAATTTTTTTGAATGTAAATTCAATTGACATATATTGCTGTTTATATGTAAATTGAATTATACAGTGATTAATATACACTGTAAAAATGTTTTTTTTTTTTAAATTGTAAATAAAACCAATATTATTGGAGTATGTTTTATATATTCAATGTGTTACTTGCCATTTTTTTGTAATTACATAATTTTCTGACTGTTTTCAGATGAAATATACCATTGATTATGTATAATTGCTTTCTTGGATACATAGTCTGATCATTGTACCTTGTTCTTTAATACACATTGATGTTCAGATTGCGCACACACACACACACACACACACACACACATATTCTAAATGAAAACACACTAGCTGTAGTTAACGTTCACTCATATCTTCTCAGCATTGTTCTGCATTCATCATGCTAAAACACAAACCAGTCACATCTGTCAGTTCATGGTTTTGACAGTAATGGGTTAATTTTCATGTCCTCTTTTTTGTTCGGATCCTCCGCGCACCTCCGTCTCTCTGCGTGAGTAAGTCTTGTGGTATTTAAGGAAGTGTTCTCTGAAAGAGGTGCACTGCTTACGCACTGCCGTCCCATAAGAGTTTCCAAAGCAACTTTAATGGGCTTTGTGTGTGTAGTTTGTTCCATTCATTCAGGCCTTGAGCAGAACAGCAGTGAAGTTTGCTTTGAGAGCTCTGCACGAAGATGGCTGGCTGAGAGAGACGAAGGTGCTGTGTTGTTGCATGAACAATAAAATGTGTTGTTCATTAAAATTACTATTTCCCACATGAAACTTCTCAGATATGCATGCATGCATGCATGCATGCATATTCACCATGTTAAAAATCATAGTATTTTTCAGCTTTTTTTGATCTGCAATCTGTCTTGTCATTTATTTATTTGCTCAGCAATGCCGTTTTCATAGAGAAACCATCATTAAAACCAAACATGTTGTAGCCACTTAGATTCAAAATTATCTATTTGCAAATATTCAAGACATGTTTTTCAGTCTTTTGCTAAATTAACTCATTATATTTAATGATTTTCTTTTATATGCATCAATATATTAATACATATTTGCAATATTAAAATATATATTATAAATATATTTTATTTATTTATTAAATATATATATTATAAATATATTTTAAATATATTTGTATAAAAACATTTTAATATATGATAAATTCATATTAAAATATATTTATTTAATATAATGTTATTTAAAGGCAGCTGTGAGCATTTAAATTGAATCAGTTTCGAATCAATTTAAGTGATTCATGGAAATTAATCTAAAGTTTAAATTAGAGACTATATGAAAACATTTACTTTTTCATACATAAAAGACAAGCAGATATTGTAACTATTTAATCAAACATATTTGTGTAAAATTTGTAAGTCACTGTGAATCTATATCATGAATACTCATTATTTCCATGCAGGCGACTGATATTTCTCGTTTTCATTTTGTTTGCTGCATGAATCACTTCTGAGGTTCTGTTTCCTTCTCTTGTTTTGGTTAGTCATTTTAATAACCTGATTCTTATGATGGTAATTTAAAACCAGTTAAGCTGTAAACTGTTTTCTCAGGTTTGGGTTGTGCCTGGCAACATTTGCATATCTGAAGCATTACTTTATGATGTGCTTGCCAACAAATTAATGTTTGTGTTAATTTGGATGATTATATACCTTTCTGACTGAAGGCATGGAAGTAAACATTTGTTGAAAGATTTAACGAGAACCAGCCGTTTGGAATTGCATCCAGTTCTGAAAGGCATCTTGGAAAAGGTGCCAGCTCTGCACTTCCATAAGAAGTTTGGCACATGCTGAAATTCAGTTTTTCAGTGTTTTTGTGTTTGTGATTAGTCTTTTGAAAGGTTGTCTCTGATCTGGAGCTGGTTGGAGAGGCTCAGCTGTACTTCCTGCATCCTGTAAATATTCTGGCATTTTACAGACATGTTTGGAATATTTGTACGGCGCACCAAAAAACGAGACGCCTCAGTCACCCACAGGCCATCTCAACAGCAACAAGCACTTAAAGGGACAGCGTCTTTTTTTTTTTTTTGAGCAGTAGTTCACCCCAAATTGAAAATGTGCTTATTTACTCACCCACAGGCCATCCAAGATGTAGATGAGTTTGTTTCTTCATCAGATTTGGAGAAATGTAGCATTGCATCACCAGTGGATCCTCTGCAGTGAATGGGTGCCGTCAGAATGAGAGTCCAAACAGCTGATAAAAACATCACCATAATCCACAAGTGATACACACCACTCCAGTCCATCAAATAGCTGCGTGTTTGTAAGAAAACACGTTAACCATTGCTTCTGGTTAAAATACAAGTCGTCTATCCATAATATTGCTTTCTCCAGTGAAGAGCTGTCTTTTCTGAATCAGGAGAGAAATCTGCACAGATTAAGCACTGTTTACAAGCCAAAACAGCTCTAAACAAATATGTGGGTGGATTTTGATGTGAAAGACAACAGAAGATGGACTTTTTCCACTGGATTATGGATTATGAATTTATGGCCCAACGCTACATTTTGAAGTTTAAAATGTCTTGATGGATTTGTTTCTTAAAAAGACACAGCTTTTCACTTCACAAGACATTAACTGATGGACTGGAGTGGTGTGGATTATTTGTGGATTATTGTGATGTTTTTATCAGCTGTTTGGACTCTCATTCTGACGGCACCCATTCACTGCAGAGGATTCATTGGT